AGGCGCGCGTTTTAAAGGCTCTGCTGTCAGAAAATACGGGGGCAGTCCCGTATTTTCGGAACGATCGTATCACAGCGAGCGCGTTGCGAAACATCAGTCGCGAGGTGTTGGCGACGCTTGTTGCTTCACCAAACTGCGTCTCTAATACACGTTGCCTAATACGATTACGCGACACATTTTTACGCGGCGCGGAAGAAGGAGAAGAAAAACAGCCGCACTTATACCGGGGCGCTCGTAATGTTTCACGGCCGTGCGTAGCGGCGCGGTATTAAGGATTAACGCGTGAGTTACGCACGCCGGAGTCGCGCCGCTACTCCCGGGGGGGAAAAAAAAAACACGTGTTTAACACAGTTATTTCGCGTGTACTTAGCCGTATGTTTGTATTACGTTTTCATTATGGTCCGCGAGAGACGTAATTCGTGCGCTCGCGCGCAGCCGCCGCCGCCGCCGCCGCCGGCGGCTGTTGTTCTCGCGGGCGAGGGAGAAAAAACAAAAGTAGGAAGAAAAGTCCCGCGCCGGGCATAAATTATCCCGGAAGTGATTATCGCGCTGCGCGACGCAGATTACGCGGATGCGCGATAATAGAGCGAGCGTGTTGCATTTCGGATAATAATAGTGCGCGCCGCCCCCTCCCCCGTCTCCTCTACCCCCTTTTTTTACCTCCCTCCTATGCGCCATCCTCGATCGGCGCCGTTCTCGGAAGAAAGCCCCGCGCTCGCATCTCATTACCGACGCCGTTGTAAATAACGGCGATGACGCGCAGGAAATTCCGCGGAGTCCGGCTATTTATAGACGCCGCGATATCGCACGCATTGCGGATGCGGACGATCGTTAGATATCCGCCGGGGGGATACCCGGGCGCGCGGAGGGAATTACCTTTCCCTGTAACGTTTCCATCGAACGGGGAATATTTTCCCTGTCGTTTTAAATGTTTTCAAATTAACGTATATCACTCGGCTTTATCTCCAGGTAATTATCTTTTAATGGATACGGAGATTTTAATTGATGGCTAATGGAGATAAAGCGAGCCTCCTGGGCCATTATACACCAACAATAAGTATGATTTAATAGAGCGTCTACAATATTAAATTCGCGCCTTTGTGCGCGCCGCGCATTTTGTTCCTGCCGATGTGCAGCAGCACGGACGTGACGCATTCGCCCGCGGTCTTTCTTCATCCGACGCGATGGAATATTATTTCGCTCCTCATGGACATCGAAGCGAGGACGCGAGCCTCGGTACGGCATACATCACTCACGGCGTAACAACAATAACCGGCTAATCGTAATTACATAAGTGTGTCACGTAACAGTTTCAGCGCGCGGCCTACCACTTTCCGCGAGGCACATCAATGGCTTTCTTTTTACGCCGCGTGTTTACTTGCGCGAGGTAAACACGCGTGACGCCGCGTGGTTTCGCCACGTTCAAGAAACTCTTTCCATTCGCCGCACAATAGCTGTAATTTACAGAAGAGGCCCCCGGCCGCGACTCGTTCCACGTCGACATTTTACAATCGTTAGAACAATTACTTCGCCATCAGAGGGACCTCAGTTTCAACTGCGATTTCTACTAGGCCGCGCGTCGCGCGTATTTATCTACCTTTTCGAAAAGCAACTCGACCGAGCATTCAGGCCCGGTGTTTCATTTTCTCATTAATTGTTAACCGGAGATTAGTCGACTCCCCGAGTCGAAATTTTGGTACTGTGTTGACACTTTTAAGGACAATTTACACTTTCTTAACTGATCTATACGCCTACATAGACCAGCAACAACCTACTTTGATGACATTATATTTTTTTACTCCTCCCTTGAAACTTTCATTCTAAAAATTCACTGTGGCTCCTACTTAAAAGGACCTGCTTTAATGCTAAATTTGCAAAAGTACAAATTTCCGACACTATCAGTTATAAAGTAGGAGTAAATCTTGTACTTGCAGTTCGATCTCTTGTACTATCTTAGGTCTTACCGTATAATAGAATTTAAGGTTCAACATAGGGCCAACATTTCGACTCGGTTCTCCATCTTTTTCTATGTTATTATCTGAGAAGAGACGGGAGAGTCGACTGAGCACCGATTAACAATTACCCAGAAAATGAAAAACCGAGCCCGAACGTATTAGAAAAGAAGACGCATATATCCTATTGTTCGCGACGTTCCTTCGAGCGAACGGTGATTTCTCCATTTTCACCGGGGCATCTCGGCACGCACCGGGCGCCGTATTTAGCGCGTTTCCGCGATCCGCGGACTCCGAAATCTCGCCGGGTTTACAGTAACTTCGTGCGTCATGTCCGTGCGTATCGAGATAATCCGCGTGCTCGAGCCCACGTAACTTCGCCGGTCGACCAAAATGAAAATGAGATACGGGCGAGAGAGAGAGAGAGAGAGAGGGAAAGAGAAAGAAAGAGAGGAAGAGAAAGGATAGACGGACGTCATTCAGAACGCGATGTGCACGTTCACTCGTATTTATAGCGATGAATGAAAAGCCGGATGCAGGAGCGCACGGGTCGCTTTTACCATTGCACACACGTCGCGTGCATCCTGTCCCCGTTCGCGTCTCCGCGGAGGTGCGGCGTCCCCGCGTTTTCGCCGCGCGATTTGGGAAAATGTGCGGCGCGAGCTCCCCGATCGGGGCTGACGCTTCGACTCGGCGTACCGCAACACGTGCGCGGAACGTCGAAACGAGAAAATGATTTCGTCATATGGCGCACTGCCGTGTTCCAATGGCCCACGGCCACGTGGCGCGTACACGAGTCCGCGGGCGCTCCGCGTCCTATTTTTTGTTTCCCGCCGCGCGATCCGGACGGGCCACGGCGTTTCTCTCGATTGACGTTTTCATTGTGATTTTCCTGCGCGAGATCCCAGGCGTGTGCGAGACAGAGACGTCGCTGACTCCTCGAAGCCTTGAAAACGCGACGGTGTATTTGAATTTAAGTGAAATACCAATAGCGTGGAATCGACGGCAACAATTTATATTACGTTACGTTTTAACGGTTACCAATTAATGCTTATAGTATTAATTGAGATAATTAGTAATTAATGCGGGAGCAATTCGCGGTTCCCCGTACAACGTCCCATTTCGAGAGCTCGATGAAGTGACTTTCAAACATTAACATCGCGCACATAATAAAATGCAATTATATTTCGCCTCGGGTGCACTTTTAATCGTATAATGGAAAATAGCCCGCTCATGATGCCCATATGTCAGGCATCGGCGTATAGTTTACTTCCTGAAGATAATGCACGCACAGCAGGCGAAATAAGGTCAACTATCTGCGCAACAGCTCTCTCAATGGAAACGAGTACGTGGCCGCCGTCTGAATGACACGCATCGCGTGTCAAGGCTTTTTTTTAACTAGCCGAGTTGCGCTATCCAGTTCTTCCTGAAATAGCGACGAATTCCTTCTAATGCCAGTAAACGTAACGTAACTCGTACGAAACCTCCGACCGAATTATGCAATTCCGTCGCAATCCCGCGTCTTTCCCGTTTCTGTTTAATCAGGCGCGGGAATAGACGGCGCGATTTTGGATTACGACCACGCCACGAGCAATAACTGCATAACCGCGCCGCGATTCGGCTTAAGCGATAAAGAAATTAATTAAGCGAATGAGTCTGCTGTTCGTTAATAAAACACGTTTAGCGTCACGTCCGGCCTCGCGCGCGAATAAACCTGTTAACGTGGTGTAAACGTAACGAGGCGACATTGCGTATCCGTCGCCACGTTTGTCGAATTTCAATCAAGAAGATCCGCCCGTATAAAGTATTTTCCCGACTGTTACATGCCGCTCGTCTATTACAGGCACTCCCGATGACTAGGAAAAGTCTCGCGGATGGGGGGGGGGGGGAGGAGATTTATGCTCCCCAGTCGCGCGGCAGGCGCGATGCAATAGCATCTCGAATAAAACACGATCATTACCGCGCCGATGTAATCCGCCCAGCGTTTACGACGAAATAAACATTGCCCGCTGCAGACGGCGCCTCGGTAATCGCGATGATCGACGTCTCCTTGCCGAGAGAGTCTTCTTGCGTTGCGCCGTTCGCGCCTCTATTTTTCACGCGGCTTTAATGCAACGTGTAAAGCCGGGCGGATAAAGATTTTTTTTCGCAAGCTTCGAAATGATACACGCCACTCCTCGCTCTCATAATCCGTTTTCTTTGCGCGTCCATCGTCGCCGCGTGGACTTTAGTAAATATCGGACCCAGCGCGTACAAATAGACAGACGCGGAAACGGCCTTTTTTAATAATACATTATTATTGGATTTATTAGAATCAGAAATGCAGTCGCGCACAGAGTGTAATTAACAGTTTGAAGCATACATTTTGCTATTGAATAATTTTTTGTGAAACTTTGTGTTTTTGGGGCCGCTGATTACGAATCCGTTGTCAGATTTTCATCATTCAAAACGAAGCTTCTTGATTCAACTGGCGATATAATTTTAAGATTAAACGAACTTGTAAAGTGAAGTTCGATCTTAATTATGCCTTGTCTCGTCCGGATGGACAACTATGTAGTCACGTCTTCGTGCCTGCATTCACAACAGAGTTTATAAAGCCCCCCAATCGAAAAAAGGGGGCGCTTTCGCTACCGCCGGCGTCCGCCACGTCGCTAGCTTCATTATTTAAAGTTCACATTGGGCCACAAATCGCCCCCTGGGCGGGAAAAGCTCGTAGGAACCTAGGGCGGGGAAGATCCATCCGGACGAGACAAGGCATAATTAAGATCGAACTTCACTTTACAAGTTCGTTTAATCTTAAAATTATGCCATATGTCTCGTCCGGATGGACAACTATGTAGTTGTTTAGAGTGCGATTTGTGAGTAAATATATATTTATATATGCACCCATACATTTTTTACCACAAAATTTTCCGCATTTGCGCATTGCCTATATAATGTAAACCCCTGCTCCTTGCAAGGGACGCAAAACTAAAGATAAAACCAGGGTTTATTTCCTGAAAAACAGAACGGTAAAGATAGGAACTAAAATAGGTAGTCATCTCCCCTCTACTGCAGTAACACTGCATTACAAAATTCGTCCGCGTTACAAATCGGGCGATTATAGAAGTTCGCAAAGACCTGCGATTCTCCGGACCAACCAGCAGCTCGTTTGATAATATTCAATGATACTCCTTTCCTGGCGGCCAGAGAAGTGGAAGCATGTCGGGTGCTATGAGATGAAAATAAGTCGGTTTGCACTCCCGAAAGCTCCAACTCCTTACGAATCCAACGGCTTATTGACTGAGCTCCGACCGCCTTATGAGGTCTCACGAAAGAAATAAGCAATGAATCGCACTCGGGTGCACGCAAGTCTCTAGTACGATACAGATAATGGTCTAAAATCGTTAGAATACAAAGCTCTGGGCGGTCCGGAAAACGAGCGAAGGTAAGTAAAGGCTGGGATCGACCCGGGCCTGACGTCTTTATTCGATCCGGAATTTTAATGATCAATCTGTTCGTCTCTCGATAAATCTGGGAGACTCTGATCGCCGCAAGGGTCTGTACACGCTGACCCGAACCTAACGCTAAGAGAAGAACTAACTTCTTAGTTATCGTACTTAGGTCTAATGGCTCGTAGGGAAAGATCTTCGCTAGTCTCGCAATTACAGGCGCTGGATCCCAAATAAAATCGTATTTCGGTCTCGGAGGTTTTATAACTGAAATGCCCTTGGCAAATCGCTTAATTAAGGGATGACTGCCGATTGCTCCTCCCGTAACAAGGGAGATTGCTGACCTCATGGTGTTGAAGGTTGAGTACGAACCGACCCTACGTATTTCTTGTATTAAGAATTCGAGTACTCTGTCAATCTCTGGACAGAATGGCGAAACCTGGTTCCTGTGGCAAAAATTCCACCAAGCTCTCAGAGGGTGAGAGTATTGCTTAATTGTAGCTGCAGATAGAGAAGCGAGCATGACGTCTAAGGCCGATGCTGGGACTGCCTGAGCTAAAAACGCCTCCCTGATAACTTCCCTGCAACCAGGAAAAGGTTTCTCCATTCTGGATGATGAGGTCTGAAAGGAGAAGATAAAAGACGTTGAGAGGGTGTAAAAACTATCGGTTCCGAGATTAAAAGACGATGAAACAAAGGGAACCACGGTTGAGAAGGCCACCATGTTACAATTAAGATTCCCGTAGCCTTATCGTCATAAATCTTACGTAAAACTCTCGAGAGCAAGATGAAAGGAGGGAAAGCGTAAAAATACAGATGGTCCCAAGATAAAGTGAAGGCGTCAATTGCCCAAGAACCTGGGTCCGGAAACCAAGAAACGTATATTTCGTTTTTCGTGTTAATAAGTGACGCAAAAAGGTCGATCTCGAACGGGCCGAACATTTCCTCAACTCGGTTAAATGCCTGAGGTGATAAAGACCATTCTGTATCCACACTCGGCATGCGTGATTCACTGTCGGCAATAACATTGTCGACTGACGCAATGTATGACGCGAATATATATAGATCCTTTTCCTCACACCACCTCCAAATGTCCCTAGCGATGTCTGATAAAAGGGGATGCTGGACGGAACCAAACTTGTTCACATAGGCAATAGCGGTGGTGTTGTCGATGCGAAGCAGAATGTTAGCATTCCGCAAGTCGGATGCAAAACATTTCAGAGCGTAAAAAGCCGCTTTTAATTCTAGTGCATTAATGTGAAGATATTTATCTTCTGTGGACCACCAACCGTGGGTGCGATCCTTACCACAAGAGGCTCCCCAACCTGATAAAGACGCGTCTGAGAATATCTCGGTTGCAAAAGGACCTGACCGGATAGGATTGGCCTGGTCAGGTTTGGAAAGAACGGCTAGCCACCATTCAAAATCTTCTCCTAAATACGGAGGAAGCCGCATTTGTTTGGAATAATCCATAAGGTTGGATTCTAGAGCTAAGAACTTTTCCCTTTCAAACCTCTTGGTGTATAGCGGACTATATTGTACCGCTGGAAAGACTGCGACTAGGGAGCCGATCATACTGGCAAAGTCCTTAATGGAACAACGTGATTTACAAGCGAAGCCTCGTATCAGCTTCAGTAGTTTCTTCCTCTTTTCAGGAGGAATTGCTATCGATTGATGGATGGAATCAAAAATGAATCCCAAATATTTACATCTGACTGAGGGGATAAGCTGAGATTTAGCGTGGTTAACGAGGAAGCCCAAGGCTGAAAGCACCTCTAGAGAGGTTTGGACGTTCCTTAGACACTCCTCTCTTGAAGCTCCTAAGAGCAAAAAATCATCCACATAGACTATTGACTGAAAGCCTTTCTCACGCAGGGCCCTAACAACGGGCCGCATAATTTTGGTAAAGATGTAAGGGGCGGTAGCGAGACCGAACGGCAATGCTGTAAATTCGAAAGTCGAGCCGCCCCACTGAAAGCGAAGAAATCTTCTATGGGACGGATGAATGGGGACTAGCAAATACGCATCCTCCAAATCTATAGAAGCCATGTTAAAATTCGGCAGCATGAGGCGCACCACGGTACGCCAGTCCTCCATTTTAAAATGTGGAGGCAACAGGTATGAATTGAGTTTGCGTAGATTCAATATGAATCGCATACCGCCCGAGGCTTTCTTAATTAGGAAAAAGGGGGACAAAAACTGGTCTTGAGATGGCTCGACCTTCGCTACAGCGCCCTTTAATATCAAACGACTAATTTCCTTATTACAGGCAACCGTCTCAACCGCAGACAGGCGTGTTTGCCTTAGAGCAGGGCGAGGCACGGGCGATACCAAAAATGGCAGTCGGTATCCCCTTATTGCTTCTAATACGACAGGGTCTGAGGTTAGTTCCTTCCAGCGCTCTATAAAGAGGGCTAAACGACCCGCTGATCTTACTGTGTCTAATGCCGGATCCGGGATCTGGATCGGGATCTCTTGTTCCGCTGTGACTGTAGAGAGCCCCTCCTCGACTGGTGCCTCGACTGGTCCCTGCGAGGAGGGATCCTCGCGTTTTTTGAGTTCCGCTGCAAGCGCACTGGCTGGTTTTTCTGTTGACCTGAGCGTGGTCCTGCTGGGAAACGGGTCTTCTGGGATGGAGGCTGCTGCGGCTTCCTGGCCATCTTGTTGGCCACCTTCTCGATTACCTGAGCGGCGTTCACTTCCTCTGCAAAATTGTTTCCGAAGAGATATTCGTCCATCCCGGCTGCATCTGAAGCCGTCTTCCCCAAGAAATTTAGCGAAGGTACAATAAAGGCACGCCTGGCCCTTGACAGACCATAATAATGGTCCGCTAACAGGCGAATCCCCTCCGCTAGTTTAGAGGCCGCCTCTTTCCCTTCTGGGGACGCCTGTAGGACCTCGAGTTTAGCGAGTTCCGAGAAACCTGAGGCTAGGGCATTCAAGGAGGCGCCCGCCTCGAGTTGAGACTGTACTTGGTGCTTATCGCGCGCAATGACCGTAGCGCCGAGGTTAGGAAGGATCTCTTTGTTTACCTTAGGTGGAATAAGAAAAGCAAGCTCCTCCTTGGGTTCGTATTTCGTAAGGAGACTCTTTTTTAGCTCTTCCTTAAGCCCTGACCGAACATCCGTCTTAGTGGTGTCGAGAATAATTGGGAGCCAGCAGGCCTGCTCAGGGAGACCTACCGGATTGCCAAATAATCCCCTAATCAGGCTGTCGGATGACGGCGACTCACCCTCGATGACCGCGGAATCTGCCACTTCTGGAACTTCGGCAAAGGTGACGTTAGTTACCTCGCTGGAAACCGGCGCATTTTCTGGAAACATGAGCCAACACAGATAAGAACAGTCGGTTATGTCCCCTCTTTGCCGTAGAGAATACGGGTCGACAAGGGGACATACCTGGTACGCTGCCCCGACCCTTGCCTTGGGTCGTCTGTTCGTCTGTGAGAGTATCCGTAAATACATTAAGCTCTGCAGACGTCTCTCCTACTGGAGACGAATCGTCTGGGGTGCCTTGTATTAGAGCCTCAGGATCCCCCGAAGTGGACCGCGAGGGCACCTCGCGAGTACTCATAAGGTCAACGAGGTCAGCTAGGGTCTGCAAAATTCTCGTGCGAGAGGATGCCCGATGTCCCGAACCTTCCCGCGATCGCGAGAGGTTAGATTCGGATCCTCTGCCGGGCGAACGCTTCCGACGCTTGTGTCTCCTCGAGGATCGTTCCCTTGGAGAACTCGGAGAACGAAATCTATGCTTAGGCATACTAGCAGTATCCAAAAAACTCCTGAGAAACTCACTAACAAATCTAATCTGTAAACTCTGCTGATTCTGCAAGAACAGAAAACATAATGAAGCTAGCGACGTGGCGGACGCCGGCGGTAGCGAAAGCGCCCCCTTTTTTCGATTGGGGGGCTTTATAAACTCTGTTGTGAATGCAGGCACGAAGACGTGACTACATAGTTGTCCATCCGGACGAGACATATGGCATAATTAATTAAATATTACACTGGTACGACGCGTTTCGACTCAAGTATCAGGTATCCTTATCGAGTATAGACAGAACTGCAGACCGACACGTCACAATTTTACGAAGACGGTAAGAAAATGCAGAATACCCTCTCTCTGACTCGCCCATTTTTATTTTCCATACAGAGCGCGGAATCTAGACGCGGTTCGTGAGTTTATTTGCGGCAAGTTTGCCGTTGGATTCGTCACGTGCTAACGGCTAACTCGGAAATCGTTGTCGCAGACAAGAAAAACAAAGGGTTAGATGATCATCCCTTACAGATGAGGTTTCTTCGCGAGCGGCACACCCCAAGGGACCGACTCCGAAGACCGGTCTGGTACCGGTAATTACACGGGGTTGCCCTACTCCTTTTTCAAGTTGGCACGTCCGTAGAATAAGTTTACCGGCTCAAATGTCAGCGCAGCTTTCTTGGTCTTCCTCGCTGATTAAGCCCCCCGAGATTAACTCCCTGATGGCGGCGGAATTATTTCATCTCGAGTTAGAAGCCGGCGCGAAGTCGTTCCCATTATCTCCCGCGCCAAGTGTGTCCGGGGCTAATATCGAGGATGGACTCCTCATCGTCTATTAACCGTGACGAGATCAGGCATTCTCGGGATATCGAGCGATATCATGAGATTCGAAGAATTTCGTGAACTCGGCATTGTAGCACTGTAGAATACAGTGTGCCCACGTAATCTCATCTTTACCGATAAGGTCGTTATGTTTCACTCGAGCCGACGAAAGTTTTAAAGCACGACGAGATTCGTCCGAGCTCGTTCCTTAGGGTATCGCCCGTGGATTATCGAAATTCTAATAATTCATATAATTCCCTTATCGCTTTTCTACTTCCAATTACGCGCGATATTCATCCCGACAAATCGCCGCAGAACGATAAGATTACGGATCGCGATAATTACTTGAACGCGATTGATAAATGTTAATTGCTCTCGTAGGAAAGGATCGCGTTAGCGAAGACGCGCCGAACACCCTCTTCGCTCGACTGTGCCGCGCCGAATAATTCGGCGCAATGAGAATAGACTGTTTTCGACCGAGGTGTTTACGGCGCCACGGCTATTTCTCGGAACCGGCGCTCGGCGTTCGACGCCCGATATCCCAAGGGTTTCCCGCGATAAATCACAATAATCGACGACATTTTAAACAAGGGTCTTCGAGAAGATATCGAAATGACACGAAAGCTTACATATTTAATGCTGAACGCTTCTTCCTCCTCGCGTATTAGGCTTTAAGCCTGTTTTATCCAGTTCGTTCTGCTACTCTGAGCATTTGGTCTTACTTCATCTTCGGTAGGCTGCTAACCCTTGCCGAAGGAAACCTCCCATCTGAAATACCCCCGAAAGGGTATGTGTGGCAAGATACTCTTGGTGGTTGCCGCTTCCCTTCGGGAGATTCCGAAAAAAAACCAACGGTGTCCGTGGATTTGAACTCGGATCTTTTTATTCATTTGTTTACTAAGCAGCGCACATTTCTCTGCGCCACACTCGCCACCTGTGCTGAACGCGATTTTCTTAATTACTGAATGCGGCGACAATAGACAAATTTATGCGCTTTCATCGATACGAGACTCTGGCTATTCGGCGCGCGTTCGATAAGAACCGATGTTTCGGTACTAATCTCGCGAGGACTAGATAAAGACGTGGCGCGTGTGTGGCGACGTATCGGGCATCCGATAATGTTACTACAACAATACACGAGGAGGGTCCGATAATACTGATGGAAATAAATTACTTGGAATGTGGAACAATCCATACTTCTTGCATTTTCGTTATCTTTTTGGGGCGTGCGACGTTATCCCAGTAATTCGCCTACGTTCTATTTCATTTCTCGTTTTCGTGGAAATTATGAGTTTCCCGTCTCCCCGGGTTCCATCGGGAAGAGCCAATACCGCAGCACCGAGTGATTTTAATTTTACACTTAGGGGGAATCGACGTTATCGGGTTTGCTCAAGAGGTACAGGATTTGAGGATCGCCCTCATCCCTACACTCCGTTTTCGCACGTCTCTCTTCCAATCGTCTTCTTTTTTTTTTCGGTATAAGAAATGTACTTGATGACAATAAAAAAATTCTGCAAGTTCTTCGCGTTCTTATTCCCCTCGGTCTTCCCTCTTACAGGATTCTCGGCTCGACGCAGTAATTTTACGTAATAGTGCGACATGCAGCGATAGAGAGTTATATGAATCGTCCTCCATTCTTCTTCCCTTGTTCCCTAATACTCGATCTTGTCAAACTAGGCGGAGGAGTGGATAAAAATATCCGACGCAAAAATCGGGATAGTCTGATTATCGTGGCTTCGCTCGCGAATTAGAATTTCAAATGTCCCGAGAATACAAGTCTCGTGATCGATATCCGCGACTATTGCGAATTTAGATTGGCTTAGCCGAGAGTTGTGTGCTCGGTGGCGTTATCATTTAGAGTTTTCCCCGCGCTAATAAATTTCACTACATAATGCTAGTATGTTAATGAGACGGAATAAATGTTTGCGAAGAAAGCGGCCACCGGCTGCGGAATGCCATTGTTTAGTATCGATAACGCGTAAAACAGCAAATCGACGTGGTACGACAAATATTGGTCTGTTTGCATAATTTAAACGCCGTCGTAAAATTTCGCCGGCGGACATCCTCGCTATTTCCTCCGCGAGGAAATACTCGTCACTTTTCGCCGATAGAGCGTACGGTTCCGAGCCGGCGTTATTTAACGAATAACGTTCAACGTAAACAAGGTGGATAGCGAAATTATGTATCGCGATTTTACCGCATTCCGCTTTGCGCCGATTAAATACCCGCCGATCGTCGCGCAATTGAAACGTTAATCACAACCAAACGGAATTACGTTACACGCCAGTAATGCGAACGTAAATAAAAACCGCACTTGTCCCGTGCAAATTTATTAAATATTTTGCCTTGATTTTCATCTTCGCGTTCATTCCCGGAAAAAAAAATGTTCACAAGGATCAAACGAAAGGGATTGAATTAACGTCGCCGCGTCACGTTTTCCTTTCATCGTTCATTCGTAACAGCATATTTTACAAACGCAGACGGGCAAAATATTTTCGAGATAAATCACAACGAGTATAATGAATAAATTATGAAGTATAAATCGTTGATTGAATCGCGTTCCTTTTAGGGGATGATTTCGAAGTTAGATTTTTTACACAAATTGGTTTATGAAAAAACGCGCCGTTTCAGGTTAAAACGTTTTTCAAGTATCGAGTGCTTTTTCACGTTTTCTATCTCCCGGGGCAGAACAGGGGGGGGGGGTGTGTCTCGGAGTGACATTCTTTCCGCAACATAATCGATCCAAAACGAAAAGGGGGGAGGGGGGGAAGAGGAGCGATTGTCCTTACCGTCTGACGCAATTTCTCGTGCACGCTCGTGTCACGTAACGCTGTTTGCGCGTGCCCTTTCCGCCTGGTATTAGTCGCGGGGAGGAAGAAGACGGAGCACGAGCGAGGAAAAGGTAAACTAAACGATTTACACGAGTAAACGCACGCGTGCCGCCTGCATGTCGCAGATAAGTTACGCTCGCGGAGTCATTACTCTCTCGCGCGGCTTTCTCTCTTATTCTTCTACGCGCCCTCCCTATCGCGCCTCTTTCTGCCCCTGCACCCACGTGCCCCCCGACGCCCAGTGTTGCTCAACCTGGACGCACGTACACGTACGTCCGACGAGACGGCGGATTCTTAGAAATAGCTCGGTGAACGGAATTTCCCTCCCGCGTCTACCACACTGCCACGTCCCCCACGGGAAAATATATATTTCCAAAAGTAGGCGAAAATATATACGGCAATATATTTCATGCATTTGGTATCTAAAAATCCTACTTAAAAAATCGTACATAATATTATATACGTCAAAAATATATACTAAAAATGTATGTGAAATATATGAGCAATATTTAAAGTATATTTTTATAATTTCGCAATTTTGATATACGAGTGATATAAAAGGAATGTATCCCTTCTACTTTTCTTTATATATGATGAAATATATATTTTTCCGTGGGGGCAGTTTCGCAAACATCGGTTAACTGCTAACCGAATTGATTCTCTGTCCCTTCTTAAATAATAAGATGGAAAAAGGTAGGGAGTCGACTGAACCCTACACAACGAGACCGAAATGGTTAGCACATGTCTAATTAGGGTTGGCACAACCCCAATAAATGGTAATATTTGGGACAGCTATATCTGTGGTTGTCATACCCACATTGGTACGATAAGTAGTGACAACTATACGCGTTTTGTGCAGCAAACTTAGCGAAAGTTGCAACGCAAAACGTTGTAATTTTAGTTATTTTTGCCTTAGCCGGTCTGTCCGTGTAGTTAACAGTTAGCCGATGTTTGTACAACTGGCCCTAAAAGCCAGCCTCTTAGCCCCAAACTTGCCAAAGTATTCTATAACACAGATCTCTGCCTGGAACAGTAATTTATGATTTAAAATTTAGACGCGTCTTGCACAGGCTGCGGCTTACGTGTCTCCTTTAATTGATAGTTATTTTCAATTTCATCGACAGTCTAACAAATACTTAAGACGACGGAGACCAGGCTGAGGAAATATTATTGACGGATAAGTAAATTTTGTAAACATGACTGCGTGAGTTTCCCTAGTCATTCATTTTACTAAGCTCAAAGTTAAAATTGCAGCAGCATAAATATTACGCGGTGAAATGGACCGCGGTGTAATAAATCTTGCAAAATCGCAGCGCACCTACAATTGCACCGACAGTTTATCAGATTAGCGTTTCACAGTGAAAACAGCCCCGCGGTTTTATTGGACGGTTCAATAATCTCGCTGGAAATTCCAGAAAATGGCTTTCTACGTACACACAATGCGTTCGGAAATTGAAAAGATTCGCCACATGTCGCTAAGCTGCAGAAGCAGCTATTACGTCGTCCCATTCGAATCCTATTTTCTAGTAACTGGTTTTCCGCGCTCGCAGCCGTAGACGCGAGTAGAAGGCA